AAAAAAAAAAATTTTGTTAAACTTTAAAACAGGTTTTAATTTATTTATTTTACAAAATATATACAATACAGAAATTTTTAAAATAGTTTATTTTCTTATACAAGGGTGACTTACAGATTTCAATACGGTTTTAAAATCTCTTTTAAAGATGTCTAAAAGTATGCAACACCATATTTTAAAACCTTTTCCACTGCATACTCGTATAGTTGAAATGAAAAGTCTAAACCATTTTATTTGATTAACGCTACCAAAATAGAGGTAACACTAGTATTTTGTTGACAACTGTACACACACATTCCTCTCTTTCCCTTAGCAATGCTTTCAAATTTAGTTTTTGGCGCGCTTTTTTCTGTGTTTTGGGTGCTCTACCTTCTTTTGGCTACCTTCCTTTTTTTCGTGTTTTTGGCTTGTTGTATAACACACAAAAAGAATTTTTAACTAACACAAAATGGCTGTTGATTTGCATGAGAATAGGGGGAGGGGGGCGTGGCAGGTTGGCGGAATGTACTATATACTCTCTGGGGTCCTGGCTGGGGATTAGTGCGTTATTCGGTTTCATCGCACCCTTTTGCCGAAAGTTCAATTGCAATCTTGTTGCCAATGTTGCTGTGTTGCTCTGTTGCTGCTGCTGTTGGGGTAAATATACACCACACAACAGAAAAACGCAGATTGTTCACTCACCCACTCTTTCCCCCTCAAGCATGCACTGGGAAAAATCAAAATTTTCAATCGAAATAAAAACTTTTTTTGTTTTTCAGCTTCAAAAATTTTTAATGCTTTTTCGATGATTTTTCGGTAAATATAAAATGCAAGGTAATGGCTTTAATATAAAAAAAAAAATTTTTTTTTTTTTTTTATATAAAAGTTAAGTAAAAAAATTGAGGTAGTCGATCCACAGGCCAAACCAGTAATCCTACTGCTTCGAAATTTGGTCGAAATATTTTTTCTGTAGTGTAGGAAGTTGCTAATAAATGATTTCGCCATAGGCCCCTCCAATCAGCTTTAAATAAAGAAAGGAAATCCTGCATTTTTTTTTTTAACATATGACGTGTTCATTTCAAAAGTATGCTTAAATTCTTTAAGTACAATCTTTTAAGGGATCAATTCATAAGGCATAAAAGATAATTCTGCTTTTATTATACATTTTCTTCAAGTGCATATGTCTGCACATCCTGTCCGTTGGCTGCTGTTGCCTTTTGCTCTTGGCTTCGCTTGCTGTGTCTTTTTTACTGCTCTTGTTTTTCGGTGTGCGTTTGGTTTATTAATGTTGACCGTCAATTATGTTTTAATTGTCATAAAAGGTTTGTCCCTTTTGACTCGGAGGATAAAACCGTGGGGGGGGGGGGGAGATATGGAGGAATTTATGGTGGGTGGCAGGATATTCCCAGCATATGAGTGTGTTGGTGAGTAGAGTGTATGCAAACAATAAAATCCAACTGGGATAAGCTGCAACAGAGTGAGAGGAAAGATGGCGAGCGGAACAGAAGTTGCTTGTCAACATGGACAAAGCTGGATATGTTGTGTGTGTGAGTGTGAGTGTGTGCGTAAGCCAGTTGACAGGTGAGTGTGTGTGTGCGAGAGATGTTGCTGCTTCGATTTGGTTTTCCGGTTGTCAGGCAATTTGCCAACTTACTGCAAAGATCAGCACAAAGTGTAACCCACACAAAAGAGAGGGCAAAAGTGACACACACGCAACCAACGGATGGAATCTTTGCGCTTCTTTAACAACGTTTCATTAATTGAATTGAATTGCATGGCGACCGGACTGCATGTGACACAATTCCACTGTGCGGTCAAAAATACAGCGGAGTGGGAAAGAAATATATACAATATAAATAAAAATAAAAACCCATCGCATCATTACATTTTCACTTGATCTTCCACAATCTAAACCGATCTAGCACTCTGCTAAGTGATATAACCTTTAATTTTGAATAAATAAAATTGAATAAATATACACTTTTCCAACAAAAAAAAAAAAAAAAAAAAAAAAAAAAAAAATCCTAGTTTGTAATTTAATATTACTGCTTACCCAGATCATAAACTCAATAAAAATGTGTGTTACATACTGTAAACGAAAAAATATTTATTTAAATGCAGAAACATTTTTAAATAACTACCTTTTGAATGCAGAAAAAAACACTCCTTGGAATTAAATTTCCCCGACAATAAGATCATTGACCAAAGAAGAATAAATGATAATTCCCAGTGTTTTTCCGGAAATAATTGAAAAATTGAACAACAAACCGTGGGATGAGAGGACAACACATAAATAAGGATGCAGATGAAGGACTGGGGATTAATGCAACGTTTAAAAACATGTCAGATTGACGACATCAGGAAAGTGCACCTGAATTTCCAATTTTCCACTTTTTTAAACATGTTCAGTAGTACTTTTTACTCGTACATTTGTTGCCGCCGATGCGCTGATGCCAATTTATGAAATTTATTTTTTGCCTACGTTGTGATTATTTATTCAAAAAGTTGGCCTCGGCCAGCGTCTGGTGGTTCCACCACCACCACCACCACCACCATCATCATCATCATCGATTCCAACCATCTGCAGATATCCTGCAGCCAGGACTCTCTCTCTTTCTCTCTCTCTATCGGTGTAATTGCAATTGTTGTTGTCAGTGGGTGGGTAAATAAATTAATAACACAATTTATGCATGACGCACATTTATAATTACATTTGGAAATAATTTAATTAAAATTGTTAACGCTTGATTGAAGTTAAATCGAATCGAACAAGACAGACGGGGGACAGATAGTGGATGCGTGAGTGTGGGAGTGTGAGAGGTCCTTACAAAAAGCGACTTAATTAAATTAGCCCATCGAAAAAGGGACATATAATATAATAAAATGCCAACAAACTGACCAATTGCCATATCGGCCAACCGAAATCAGTCTGCCGCATAGGTTCATGTATTTTAGGAGTGTTTCCGGTACACGAAAAGGACATTCATATGACAGGTTACTCAAAAAGTTTGGGTGGTGCGGTTGCTCAAATAAACCGATCAGCAGTAACGGTAATTAAAAGCCAACCAAATAAGCCACTCCAAAAAAAAAAAAAAAGAAATGGGCAACAGACTGTGTATGCTGATGGAAATCTTAGAAAAATAATACAAGGAACATCAGTTACGAAAAGGAAGCAAAGTCGAAGCTAGAGATACCCTACAAATGTATCCTACGTGTTCGTAAAAAAATCCATTGATTATATTATAATATATATGTATATTTATATAAATTAATATACAAAAGTTCTGTTAGATTATCAACTTCAATATAGTATGATTTGCAAGGGTACTTATATCATCTAGCTATAGCTATAAATAAGGACTATATTTTTGCGAGTGACTAGTATGCAGCGAATACTATTTGGAATTAAAATCTATATTTAAAAAACGAAATTCGGAAATAACTCGTAGATTATAGCTAAGAAAGGATTTCACAAAATTCCTACCCGAAATATTTTAAAACATATCTCGAAGTTAGATTTCAAACTATAAAATACCAATATAATCTATCTATGTTTACAGAAAGGTTTAGGATTCTGCTTATTCGGGTTGAGATTAAAATATATGTTTAAAAACTGGAATAATAATTCGTATGCCATCGCTAGGAAAGGATTTTACAAAAGTACTTAAAAACCCAAGTTATACTTTGTATATCCCACAAATTCCAGGGTATTCCAGGGTAAACGCTAATAGCTTATTGAGGATTCGAACTGCAAGACCACAATACACAGACAGATAAGGCAAAAGCACATACTCGCATATGTAAGCAGTAAATCAACATGGGAACGCACACATACAGCTACAAACTGTGTGTAAATATGTGTTGGTTATGCCCACAAATCAATTAAGTCGATTGAGGCAACATTTTCGGGTGGTAACACACACACACATACGCACAAGAAAACGGTAAAGAGTTGTTAAGCGCCCAAATGACACATGCAAATGAGGGGGGAAAAGGACTCAGAGGTGGAAAAGGACTCAAAAGAACCGCGAAGTTGAATCCACTGCCATTGCATTCGGGTCAAAATGCAAAAGGGCAACAAGGTAGGGGAGAAAAACCCCCGAAACTGACCCCCCAAAAATGTATGCAGTCCCATAGCCAAAAACTACTAGCGTAATACATAAATAATCTTAATCTTAAATATTTGATAATTTATAAAAAGCAAGTCAAGTCCACACAAACCAATTAAACAGACCACCAAACAACAACTTTTCAGCTTCCGGTCAGGTCAGTGTTGGCCACTTTTAGCCACAAACAATAGCTAAACATAGTTTTTAAACTGATTATAAAATTAACTACCTAACTATTTGATTTTTAATCTCAATTTATTGTAATAAATATAATCATGAAGATAATACATTCGTATCTTTTTTGGGGTTTTTACATTTTAAAGAACTCAATCATCTAAAAATTATATCGATCTATAAAGTTAGAATAACATAATTTCTTCAAATATTATAATAGAATTTTAGCATATTCTAATATAATTTTAGAATATTATTATATAATTCTTCATATCTACTTATATTTTTAAAATAGAACTAGTTAAGAGGAGAATTTTTTAATGTTCACCTGTTGGAAATTTAAATTTCAAATATAAGATATAAGCAGATACAAAAATATTTATAGAACTATATATATCTATAGAGCCGTAACATCTATACCGATCTATAAAATTCAACACTAGTAAACAGCAAAAATGTTTTAAGTATTCTCCAAATTAGTATATGTTCATCTGTTACTGTTGGGAATTTTAATTGCAAATATAATATAATAAGAATATAATATAATGTATTATAAATATATATTCTGTTCCTAAAGAACTCAACCAGCTAAACATCTATACCTATCTATAAAATCAAAAATACTTCATATTTACTATATAATACCAAAATATCACCTAAAGAACTCAACCAGCTAAACATCTAGTATACCTATCTATAAAATCAAAAATTCTTCATATTTACTATATAATACCAAAATATCACCAGTTAAGACTTCACATATTCAATTTTTATCTGTTAATGTTGGTAATTCCGATTCCAAGTCTGAGATTTCTCCAAACTCAGTTCTTGAAAAACAGCCAGTGTTTCGGCACAGCCGACGAGTAAACACGAACCCCCGGCCGAAGGACGAGGATGCCGACGAGCCGAGCGCATTGCATGTTGCTTTTGGCTGCCGGGGAGTATAAATACCGGAGACGCACGCCTGTCGGCCATCAGTTCTCCAGCCGATTTCCCCTTGGACACGCGACGGTGGTCCATTCGTTCGTCCTTTGGTCCTTGCGTCAAAAATCTCGCTGCGAATATAGCGCTCTGTTTTTTTTTTGTTTGTTTGTTTGTTGCTGTTCCTTACTTTACTGTGTGCACGTGTGCAATGTTCACCAATTGGCTGACGGGCAGCAGCACGGCGGCAACTCGTTCCGCCTCCACATCGGGAATCGGAGGTGCCGGAAGTGGGGGACCGGGCGGAGTTAGTGCCTCCGCCCTGGTGATGAGTTCGCCACCGGATGTTATCCTCGAGGTGGGCCCAGCGCCCAGCAGTGTGCGTTTCGTGGCCCACTCACTGGTGCTGGGCATGCACAGTGGTTACCTGAGATCCGCCATCCGTTTGGATGAGGCATCGGCGGCTTCGGTGGTGCCGGCTCCCAATCTCACATCGAACTCCTCATCGGCGACCACGGCAACTGGGGAACTACTCTTATATCTCAGCAATGTCACGGCCGATCAGTTTGCACCGCTGCTAACGTACATGTACACGGGATATCTGGACCTGACCGTCGACAATATCTTTGCAGTTCTGCTGGCCACCCATGTCCTGCACATGCCAAGGGCTCTGGAAATCTGCCGGTGGGTTTCGGGTTCGGTGGGGAATACTTAAGTTTCTCAAAGATTTAGGTTTTGAAAGACTATCCTCAAAAGTTCCTAACAATCTATTGAGTACTTTTCGAAATAATATGCAATTTCCATACTGCTCATGGCAAGGGCTCTGAAAATCTGCCAGTGGGTTTCGGCTTCTGTTGGAATGCGATTAGTTTCTTAAAGATAAGGGTCTTGAAAGCTTATCCTCAAAAAGTCCTAACAATCCATTGAGTACTTTTCGAAATAATAGGTGATTTCCATACTCCTCATGCCAAGGGCTATGAAAATCTGCCAGTGGGTTTCGGGTTCGGTGGGAAAGCATTTAGTTTCTTAAAGATAAGGGTATTGAAAGCTTATCCTCAAAAAGTCCTAACAATCCATTAAATACTTTTCGAAATAATCTCCAATTTCCATGAAGCTCTCTTCATATTTGGTTATTTTTTGAAGATTAAAGAGTTCCCTTGGCTCATTTGCTTCCTGATTTTTATATTCTAGCTCCTTTTTGGCGCGAGCTCAAACGGAGGGCTATTTAAACGGCAATCCCGCCCAGCTTTGTCCAGTTCCCGGCATTCAGGCAGCCGCCAAGGTCATCCGGCCGATACCCAGCAAGGCCACCATGCCGAATTTTGGTTTTCTACCCATGCCACAAGCCCAGCCAAGTGCTCCACCTCCACCGCCACCTCAACCGGCTCATCCACAAACAGCTGCTGCCACTCCAGCATCCCTGAGTTCTTTCGCCGGCTCCATTTCGCTGATGGATAACGAACACTCGACCCGGATCCAGGACAACGACGAAGAGGATGAGGATGTGGAGGTGTTCATAGACAGCAATACGGTGACGGATAACGAGGCTGATCCCGAGCCGGATGTGGACATGGATTGCAATGTGTCGGTGGTGAGTTCCCTGGCCGGAAGCAGTGCCGGCAGTCTGAACATCGAGCGTTTGGATGTGAAGCCACCAACTCCAGTGCCAATAGTTGCGCCACCCAAATCCCAATCCCAAAGTATCCAGCCGAAAATGCCCAGCTCCAAGCGGGAGACACAAACAAAGGGTAGTAGGGGTAATAAAACCAGATCGAGAAAATCCAGTGGCCTGCAGGTGGCCAAGGCTCCAGTGCCGGCAGCCCAATTGGAAATGGCCAGTGCCGCCACACCCATAACACCCTCGAAATTCATTATCGATGTGGCCAGTTGCGATGGACCAGTGAGATTTCGTAGGATTCTCAACACAGCCTATGGCCACAAGCCCGAGGGAATGGATTCGGGATCATTGAGCAGCGGAGGAGCAGTAGCAGCTGGAGGATCTTCATCCACAGCAGTGGAGCAGCATCGCAGCCAGCAGAGTGTGAGCTACTCCTTTCACCAGCAAATGGCCAGGGCCATCAGTAGTCAGCAGCGACAGTTGAGTCACCAGCAGCAGGAGGAGAGCGAGAACAGTGGCGATGCCACTGGGGCAAAGCCACAGGCAACAGGAGCAACTGCATCATCATCATCATCGTCAACATCAGCAACCAATAGAAAACCACAGGCAGCCGGCTCAACGGCCACTTCAACCAGTGGTTCCGGCGGCAATCAGGAGCTATATGTATGTGTCTATTGCAAGCACACCTTCAAATCACAATATTGCTATCAAAAGCATGCCAAGCGGCATTTGAATCCATTGAGTTTGACCACGGCGGATAAGAAACTACTCGCAGAACCGGCCAGTTTGTTGGCCAGTAGTGGCAACCAGGAAACAGATAACCAAACAGGTCAAAATGGAGCAACAGCAGAGCGAAATGGAGCCGTTGGAGGTGGAGCAACTGGAGCAACATCTGCCTTGTTGCGACGAGAGGTGCGACCCTTGGACATGAATGTGCAATATTATCCATGCAAAACGTGTGGCAGCAAGTTTCCCAGCTACTATTTCGTGCACAAGCATCGGAAAATGTGCCATGCGGATGAAATCGAAGCCACTGCCACGAGCAACACAAGCAACACTAGCAACACAAGCAACAACAGCAGCAGCAACACCAGCAACAGCAGCAGCAACAGCAACAGCAGTACCAGCAACACGAAACGCGACCCAGCAGCAACAACATCAGCAGCAACAACAACTGCTGATGATCAGCAGCAACCTCAACAGCAATCCTAAGATATATATCTACATCATATCAAACAAGGCACTGGCAAAATCAAAGCAACGAAATCTACGAATTTATATACACAACAAACACACACTCAACACCATACACGCTAAATGTTTTTTTTTTTCGCTCTAGAAATGCAATTAAATAAATAAAAAGTATTTTAAAAATCACAATGATAGAGATCATAATGATTAAACTAGGGGTTAAATAAGGGGCTACAAAAAAATTAAGAAATCAAGTGAAAGTTAAAAGTTAAATATGAAATTGGAAATTGAAAGCGTATATAAAATTTAACTAATTGAAAAACAAACATAAACAAATAAAAAGTATGATTATGATTATGAAGAGAAAAAATAAGTTAAACCAGGGGTTAACTTACGGGCCGAAAAATATTTCAATTAATCAAGTGAAAGTTGAAGATATCAACAAGAAATTGGTAATAAACAATTTGGAGATAAACGAACAAAAGTTCATATAACATTGGGAAACAGTCTTTAACAAATAAGAACAAGGGGTTAAAGTAGGGGTTAAAAAAATATTTCATGGAATCAAGTGAAAGTTCCCAATTAGTCAAGTAAAAATTAAAAAGCGGGTAAAAATAAATAGGATATTATAAAATCTAAGGATAGGCGTTAAAAAATAATTATAAAGTGCAACTAATTAAGAAGCAATTCTAATAGATAGAGTTACTATCGGTTATAATCTGTAGTTTCTCAGGGATAATTGAAATAAGTAAGTAAATCAGGACTAAATACACATCAAGCATGTTGGCATCTTGGTAATACCCAAAAATAATATCCTTTTCCCCTAATATATGAATCAAAAAACATAAATACGAATTCCTTTCCAGCTTATCGACATCCTCAACTGTCCCTTGACTTGATCTACTTTTTCCACCCTCCGAAACAGAGATTGAAATGCGACTGGAAAAATGCGATGGCTGCTACTAAGGTAAACAATCCTTGCCGCAATTTAATAATTAAATTAAATCACTTGCATAATAAAAAAGACGTTTACAAAAAAGACTTTAATTTAATTGAGTTTAATTAACTCGCCAGGGAGATGACAGCCAACAAGGCCGAGCGAAGCGAAGCGAAGATGATGATGATGGTGGTGGTGGTGGTGGAGTAGGGTGGTGGGTGGTTGGGTGGTTTAAGTGGGTGGTTCAAGTGGGTGGTTCAAGTGGGTGGTGGCTGCCTGATGGGTGGCATTTGGTGGGCGGTGGTGCAAACAAAACCGCAAGCGGCCGAAAAACGTTGAGCTGAGCCGCTGGGAAAATGTGAAAAATTGGGTAGCGGGTGGAAGAAAAGAACCACCAATTGAGCGCTACTCCTTCTTTCACCTCCTCTGGGTTTTCCCAACCCCCTCCCCACCCCCTCTCATTTCTGTCAACTCTTTTTGGCCCTGGACTCTGTCGGCGACTTGACTTGAGGCCATAATATATAGAGCGGCGAGCTCAGTGTCTTCCTTTTTATATATTTTTTTGATGAAATATTAATCGAAATCGCTGGCGGAGAAGCAGCGCAAACAGAAGCTGAAGAAACGGAGATAGAGTAGAGTCAGCTTTGATTGGATTGAGGGGGCGTTGGGTGGTGGATAGTTTGATTAAACGGCCCCAAAAGAGACTGCACCACATTGCAGTTCTCAATGGCGGGAAATGCATTTTTGATAAGCTCCGTTAAGGGAGAAGAGACCAAAAAGACAATTAACATGCCCATGTTAATCTCAATGTTAAATCTGAATAAGGAAAAAATAAATGAAAAGCTTTGACTGGTTAACAGAGAGCTTTCAAGGTTACGGGATATTTTGTTCTGTTTTTTGCAGAAAGTTTACATTTTTAGCTTAAAAGCTCAGGAGGTCCTGCTTTTAACTTTCCAGCAAAAGCTCAGGTTAGTTTATATGCACTATAAAAGCTCACAGGATTAAAGCTCCTAACCAAAGGACAGTCCAGCTGTCCGGTTAAGTAAAGCTCTATAAGAAGTCTACCAGTTTGAAAATTCAAGTGATTTTAATGATAAATACTGATTTACTCTCTATAAATCAAGCGTTCACACTGGAAACATATAATATTAAGCAATGAATCCACAATGAATCACAAAAATCTTCTAAAAACATGATCTTGCAAATATTCAACATCAATATCATCAAAAACAAGATCTTAAAAAATTAAAGAAATTTTAAACAATCTCGAGTGACAGTTAAAGTAAGACTTTGCTATCTGTCCGAAAAACCAACGATCCGGTAATCCTGTCGTTAGGGAAAATCCGTTTCCTTAGCAAGAAACAATAATATAGTGGTGTTATGATCAGCAAAAGTGGGTTAAAGACTTAAATCTGGGTTGCTGCAATCTGACTTTTAAATTTAACCGTCACCCTATTGACTCGACAAATATATATAATATAGATAACTTGGAGTTCGAGTTGCTGTTAGAATTAGCCCTCAAATTGACCCTCGAGAACACAAAATTATAATAAGCGGGCCCTTTATCTGACCGATAAATGTTAACCGGCACTCGAGAAACTGGCCCTAAATCTATTACCCTACTGGAAAAGTAGTTGAAAGATTAAATATCACTGGGCAAATAATATCACCAGAACTTTGCCGAATCCCTTGCAATAATAATTGAAATCCCGGCACTTACCTTTGCCATCGAGGGCGAGGACCTCGGAAGCGTTGACCATCGAATTGGCGCTCCCATCTGCCAACAGTGGGGGCATGGAGATCGATGGAGCCGTGGCCGTGGTGGTTGCCGTGCTCGAGGATGTGGCTCCCGCTGCGGTGGACATGATGGAGGCGGCACTGATCAGCAGCATGGAGCCAGAGGAGGATGCCGATGGCGTGGATGTGACAACCGATGCCGATGATGCCGATGGCAGCGATGTCTTGGCCATCGAGCCATCCTTGGCATTGGCCTTCAGGCCGTGCCCGTGGCCATGGCCATGGCTGTTGCTCATGTTCATGTTGCCGCTGGTGTTGCTATTGGCATTCGCAGATGTTGCATTTCCAGTCGCCTCACCAGAATTCAGTTCGAAGCGTTTCCTCTTGGATTCACTGCAAAATCGAGCGAGATGGCAATAGTTAGTTACAGTAGGAAATCCATCAGATAAATCATAAATATGAATGTGACAAGAGTGAAAGCACAAGGAACTTAGTTATAAATATTGGTTAAATGAATGTAAATATTTCTATCCATTTTAACACAAATATTTCTTGTTATAAAGCTAGAAATACCCATTTTTTATGACTTTATTACAAAGCAAATGTATCTAATAACCCTTATCGGGCCCTGCTTCTTTCTCAAATCACATTCGTATTTATAGATCGATCGCTCACCTAACATCCGAGTGCAGATCATTGCCAGCTCCCAATCCCTCGACCTGGGCCGCCTTTAGCTTCTGGCCCAGATAGTTGCCCGCCGTGGTGGCGGTGTGGGCAAAAGTGGGCACTCCAGCTCCACTTTCACCCGCCGCCGTCGAGGATGTGGAATTCGGAGCCCTGGATGGCGGTGTTTGCTTGGCGATTTTATCGCCTCCCTGCCCTGTTCCGGCCGCATTCGTCGTCGGAGCAGCTCCTCCGCTCGCCGAATCCTCAGCACTGGCCTTCACATTGGCCATGACCACAGTCTGGTAGCCCGGCTTAAAGCCATTCAGGGTTACGCCCTGTGCCGGGGCAGCGGCTGGAGTAGCGTTGCTAGCGGTGTTGCCACCAGTGGCTGAAATGTGGAAAGATTGGGAGATTTAGTATCTGCTTTATGATCTTTTGTAAATGCAATAAAAGAGTAAGCTATCTTCGGCAAGCCGAAGTTGATATTCCTTGCAAATCATGTAATTATAATCATACGAATACTGCAGAAACCGTATATTCGGAAGATATGATACATGATATAGTTGTCATAAACAATTTTGATATCTTAAAATAACGTCGTAACCCATAAGAAGGGAAACGATCAAGAAACGGACAAACAAACGGACAGGCGGACAAACGGACAAATGGTCAGACGGACACGGCTAGATCGACTCTTCTAGTAAAGCTGATCAGGAATATAGATACTTTATAGAACCGGAAGCGTTTCCTTTACTAGATTACAAACTTCTGACTAAAATCATAATAATAGGTATTATATGCAATATGCCTTTAGTTAAATTACTGAAAATACATCCTTAATAACCAATTTTACTGAACAATAGCATACTACTATGGGATAACCCATTCCCTTAGACATCAAACGTAACCCACCATTATAGCCCTCGGCGTTGATAGCTTTTGGACCTGTTTTGCCCAGCGGATCGTTGGCTTCCGCCCGCGAATCCGCTCCCTTGGCAGCCGTGCCCGCTGGCTCGGTGGCCGTCTCCGGTTTGCCGGCTCCCTTGGCCGAGGCTGTGGCCGTGGCTCCCGTCGCCGTTGTCGCCTCGCCCGCACTGGCCGCACTTGCTCCAGTGGCCGGTGTGCCGGCTGTGGCCACAGTGGCTGCTCCGGCTGTTGCTGCTGCCGCCTCCTCGTCGCCGGCTTTGCTCTTGGCCTCGCCGCCCGCTGAGATCTCTGGTGGAGCAGCTCCTGCTGTTGCTGCTGCTGCTGTTGCCGCAGGTGTTGCTGCTGCTGCTGCTGCTGCTGCCGGAGTACCAGCTGTTGCTGCCGCCGCCGCCGAATTCTTTTCGCTGGCACTCGCACTACTCGTCTTGCCGGCTTCCGTCTTATCCGTTGCTCCTGTCGCTGAACTTGCCGATGTTGCTGCTCCCGTAGATGATGTTGATGCCGTTGAAGCCGCCGCCGCTGCTGCTGCAGCTGCTTTGGCCACCTTTTCACCGGCAGCCGTTGCCTCAACGGCCTTGGTGGCGGCACTGGCCTTCTCGGCAGCACTTTCAGCCGCTTTGGCCGCATCCGCTGCCGCTTTCTCCGCCACACGTTCCCGCTCTGCCGCCCGTTCGGCACGCTCACGTTCCGCAACGGCAGATGAACGACCACCGGACTTTTGCTGCTGTTCACGCTGCAGACGCGTCATCACGCCCGTGGTCATCGAATCAATGATGCACTGCGGCTGAGCAGCCTGGGCCTTGGCAGGATTACGCGAGCTACGCGTCCGCTGGCGGGATTTGCGCAACAACTGCTTGTAATTCTCGGTCTTCTTGCTGAGGTAGTAGTAGCGTACGCAGTCCTGAGGCGATTTGCGATCCAAACTGGCTGCAATGGCGCCAAAGTTCTTCGGATGCTGCAAATACTTCTCCTTGAAGGTCTCCTTCTCCCCAGCCGTCCACATATTGAGGGCCTTACGCTGCTGATGCACTGCCACCATATCCTCGATGCGTCCGTTTTCGTTGTGATAGGCGCAACGCCGCTGGCGGGCATCGTGCATCAGTGGCGGTATCACCGCATACGATCGCATCTTCTTGTCCTCCAGGGCCTGTTCCTGCAACCCATCCATGATCTCCTCCAGATCCGCTTCGGATTTAATGCGCGATCCAACGCGATTGAAGCGCTCCTTATCCTCACGCTGTTTCCGCAGCTCCGTGAAGACCTTCTCGAAGAACTCACGATTCTTGGCCTCTCGTGCTTTCCGCTTGGCACTCGCCTCCATGCGCTCGCAACGGCGCTGCCAATCGGCCTGGTCCTTGAGGTATTTTTCCACCAATCCCTGGTTGTACACCCAACGCTCGGCCTTCAGTTTCCGGATGTGCAGTAGCAGGGGTGCACGCACTTGACTCTGATGCTGACGTATCAATACGGTGAGGGCCTCCACATCGAGGGGCTGATTGTACAGCGGCAACCAGGGACGTCCGGCCACGGATCCTGGTGAGGATTCTTCGGCCGCTGCATTTTGCAGCATGGAATGTTGCGCTTGGGCCGTTTTCCGATTGGCCGCATAGATCTTCTCGGCCAGCATTTGACTGCGCCAGGCCAGTTCGACCACCTCCTCTGGCTGATCGTTGTTGTTGTCGCTCACCTCCTTGGCGGCCTTCTGCTCCTTGGCCAGGGCGGCCTCCTCCATCAGCGTTTTCTCCTTCTTGCGCAGCGTCTCCATTGTCGTCTCGGCAGACTTGATCTCGTTGTCCACCTTCTGGATCTGCATGAGCAGGTCCTCCTTGGCGCTGGTCCGTCCACGCTCCTCGATCGAACTATCGCTGGGCAGCGTGGGCGAAATGGCCTCCACCTGGTGGTTGTTAAAAATGCTTTTTAGTTGATGTTTTTGATCAGACATGGGAAGAGCTCTGCTTGAATCAAGTGCCTACAAGATTTTCACGAAATGTCAAACTTGATAGGTTATATGTGTATAGGGTTGACCCCTAAAGGGCAAAAAAAAAAAACAATCACAACCCTAAAAAGTTGACCAACCCTCTTTTTTATTAGGAGCATTCCGATTTTCGTTTTCTATGAGTTTTCTTTTGGGATAAAGTGCCCAAAAAAAGTCACTTATTATTTAAAAAAAAATGTTTACTTTTATTTTTAATAAAAAATATTAAACAGCTATCGAGCATTCAAGGCACCTAAAATAATCACACACAAATCACAAGGCTTGTGATATCACTTGTAAATGTCATTTTAGGTGTCTAAAAGTATGCAACAATATATTTTAGATACAAAAATGCATTCCTTCCTTTCTTTAAGACACCTAAAATGGCATTTAAACGAGACTTGAAAACCCCAGTGATTTGTGTGTAAATATTTTAGGTTCCTTGAATGGTCGATAACTTTATTGTTTTATATTTCTTTTCAATTTGTTTAATTTTTTTTTTCATTTTTGAAAAATATTTATTTAAATCAAAGTGGTATTTAAAAAAATATAATTTATTATCAATGGGGTGCCGTACAAATCACTAGGCTTTTTAAACTCAAAAGTACAATGAATTCATTTAGGAAGACTACTATTCTTTGTTTACTATTTATTTAGGCACCTTTTGACATTAAAAAGTGATTTCAAAGTGATAGTGACTAAGTTAAATACAAAATTTATATTTTTAAGTACTATTAAATTCAAAATTGGAATGGTTTTAATTAAATTCTCCCTGTGTCCTTAATGTGTGACTCGTGAATTAGCCATTTTAGTACTTGAAACAGTTTGGATGGCAATGAATGCAAGTAAAAATCCCTCACAGACTTCAAGCAGCTCTCTTCCTGGGTCTCCAAATTCACAGTTCACTCACCTGAGGATGGTAGGCCTCCGTGCTGGCGGATCCGGTGTTTCCCAAGCCCGTTCCGGCGGAAACATTGCCACTGCTGCCGCTGTGACTCGCCGTCGATCCCGCCGTGGAAACGGTGATGCTGCCCACCGGTTGGCTCACTCCGGAGGACATGCTGCTCGCCGCTGGTTGGGATCGGCTCTGGGATTGAGAGGCATGTTGCTGCTGCTGTTGCTGTTGCTGTTGCTGCTGCTGCTGCATCTGCTGCTGTTGCTGCTGGGGCAGCGTCTCCACCTTCAGTTGCATGCCCATTGGCGTGGTGACCACTTGTCGGCACATGTCATTGTGACTCTGCTGCCGACTGCTGTTCATCTGCTGCTGCTGCTGTTGCTGCTGCTGCTGCTGTTGTTGCTGTTGCACTTGGGCTGGCGAGGATCGCTGGTGTTGCTGGTGTGCCTGATGTTGCTGCTGCTGCTGCTGCTGCTGTTGATGCTGCTGCTGCTGCTGATGCTGCGGGTGTGGTGGCAGGTGATTCATGTTGCTGGCATTGGCCTCGCTGAGCCGTTGCTTCTTGTACGGCTGCTGGCCGCCAAATGGCTCGGGCGGATGTTGTTGCTGCTGCTGTTGTTGCAGCTGCAATTGCTGTCGCTGGTTGACCGCCGCCGCAGCAACGGCCACCGCTGTGGCATTGGTCAGGTACTCGCTGGTATATTGGAGAGCCTGTGAGTGGGGCATCAGGATGCGCCCCAGATTCCCGACCATTATGCTGCTAACGCCGGAGGGTGAGGCGGATATTGCTCCCGCGGCACTGGGATTGCCGCCCTGTTGTTGTTGTTGCTGCTGCTGCTGCTGTTGCTGTTGCTGCTGCTGGGAGGGATTACTATTTGGTTGGCTGGCATAGTGGGGCATGGCTTCCATGACCAGAACTCCGCTGGATTGCGACACCTGGACAACGCCGCCGGGTGGAGCTGATCCACCACTTCCTCCACCTCCTCCTCCGCTGCCGCCGCCACTGCTGCTGTTGGAACTTTGGCCAGAAACGTTGCTTTTACCCCCCGAAACCGCCGATGCAGCCGCAATCGCAGCCGCTCGAGCTGCTGCCCTCTGACATTCGGGCATGGAGGCCTGCTGTTGCTGCTGCTGTTGCTGTTGCTGCTGCTGTTGCTGCTGTTGTTGCTGCTGCTGCTGCTGCTGAATTTGGGTGTGACGCGAGTAGGGATTCTCACGGTAGGTGGGCGCCGGGGCAATGCTATAGCCCGTGCTCTGGATAAAACGATGCTGCGGGGGCGGTGGCGGGTAACCGGTGTTGACGGCCGCCGCTGCTGCTGCTGCTGCTGCTGCTGCCGCTGCTGCACTGCTGCTGTTGCTGCTGCCGCTGCTGTTGCCGCTGCCAGGATTTCCAGGACGAGGTGGTGACAATGGACTGGCCGCCGCTCTCGAGAATTGCTGCTGCTGTTGCTGCTGCTGTTGTTGCTGTTGCCGCTGCTGTTGCTGTTGCATCTGCTGCTGCTGCTGCTGCTGCTGTTGGTGGTGGTGGTGGATCTGCGGATGCAGGGTGGTGCGCTGCTCCTGCTGCTGCTGCTGGTGGTGCGACTGGAGCTGCTGCTGTAGCTCCTTGGCATACTGCGGCAGCTGCTCGAGGCCCCTGTACGACCAGTGGGGGCGAAAGGAGAGGAACACAGCAGATTATTAAACTATTGTCCAATATATTCTCTTATTTGTCTAATGTAGGGGCCGATTTCTCAATATCATGTTAAGTTAACAAGGAGCAGCCGATTTCTCAATATCCTGTTAAGTTAACATGGAGTTAAAGTTCGTTTTCTCGATTCAATGTTAATTTAACAGATTTATCAATGCCATGTTATGTTAACATGAAGTTAAAGTGTGTGATTTTAAAGGATTTCTCAACGTCACGTTAAGTTAACTGGAGTTTAATTGTTTAAAAATCCAACTTCATTTTTTCAATGCGATGATAATTAAACAGACTTCTCAATTCCATGTTAAGATAACATGGAGTTGTGTGGAAAGACAAATTAATGTGTGGAAAGACAAAAAGTTAACATAACATTGAGTAATCGGCCCTAAATGTAAGTGTTGGCAATAAGGCTAAGAAAGGAACCTCTTAAATTATTTTTTTACAGGTCAAAAAATAACAACAAATTTAATTTTTTAATATGTGGCATCACTCGTAAACAAAATAGGTAATACGAACACCAAAATATATTTTTCAAACTACCTTACTTTCTCTTTTGAGAGCTTAGCCCAATTCGAATCAATATATGTTATCTCAGAATCGTAAATTTAGTTGTTCTACTCTTTTTAAATATATGAATTACTATCGCCACCTAAACCTGCACACCTACTATCTATTATCTAACTAACGATTAAATATTTATTAAATAAACTGATCCCTAGACCTGGAAAGAATCTTCAATTATCAATATAATAGGTCTGTTATATTTTCCTTTTACTATTTTATCAGATATCATAAATAATGTTATGATATTATAATTAATTTGTCCTTATCTATTAGAAGGATCAAATAAACTTTTACTATCATATTCTCTTTAATCTTAAGTATGGAAATTCAGAACATCTTGATCTGTAATAAAACGATCATCTCTAACCAAATCTAGAACCAGATTTAGATTCAGATCTTAAATTTTCAGATAATAGACATGACATTACAAATGATTTATTATCCATTAAAAAGGTTAAGTAAGTAAACTTCAATTGTAATATTCTCTTTAATCGTAAGTATGAAGATTCAGAACCCGTAATAAAGCGATCACCTCTAACCAAATCTGGTTCTATTCAGATCTTACATTTTCATAATGATATAACAAATGATTTATTATCTATTAAAAAGATTAAGTAAACTTCAATTATAATATTCTCTTTAATCGCAAGTATGGAAATCCAGAACACCTTGACCCGTAATAAAGCCATAATCTCTAACCAATTCTGGTTCTATTCAGATCTTACATATTCAGATATAATAATAATGATATAATAATAATGATATAACAAATGATTTATTATCTATTAAAAAGATTAAGTAAATAGACCTCAATTATAATATTCTCTTTAATCGCAAGTATGGAAATTCAGAACACCTTGACCCGCAATAAAGCGATCATCTCTAACCAAATCTGGTTCTATTCAGATCTTAAATTTTCCAGCTAATCGTGTAATGATAGTTCTAGGACCCCACAGCTCAGTACTCAAACTGCGATCTGCAATTCCATTTACAGACAAACGAGAAATACTGAAATAAATGGAACCAACTGAGGCTTGACCCCGTTTTCGCGGCAATCTAAGATAATCGGATGATCGCATCATATAATTTAGCATATCTGCATAATACGGCTCCACGCTGCTATATATATATATATATATATATCTATAATATATATTATATACTATATATATTTAAGTGGAATATAAGCGGGGCACGATCTAACGGTTGATTTAGTTGGCTTTATGCTCTATTATTATTATTATTATTTTTGTTATTGGGGACACGAACCCCGGCCGGTCTCGAACCTGTGCGAGCGAGATGGGTAGTGTGTGTGTGTGTTCGAACCTAGTGTTGGCATCTCTGTCGTTTTCGTGATGCGTCGCCATGTGCTGCCCGAATCGAGCATGCTCGCTTCAAACATGTTCGATGTTGGCGGTCAGTCATGTGGGCAGCGAACCGCAACCGCGTCGGCAGAGGCAGCACGACGTCAGCAGAGGCAGCGGGCTAACATTTGTTGTTGCCTGGTTTTATCCCACACAGTGGTGGCTCAACTATTAGCTATACCTCAAGTTTATTGGCTAATTTGCGTTTTTTGAGGAAAAATTGAAGTTACGAATAACTAAAAGCTAATAGATTAAAAAAAGGGTATGCAACATCATTTAAATCCATATTACACATTAAAGAACATTTTATAAAAAGTTATTAAATTTGAATTAATAACTTAAAGTTATATTTCATTATAAAAGGGAGAAAAATAAAAAATTGTTAGGCAATTTTTTTCAATGCTGTGCATAATTGTTATTATTGTTGCAACTTATATTTTTTAAAAGTAGACCATAAAGCTCTTTATTAATATTTATGAGAATTGCTTGAAATGAGCATTTATAATTGTTGATATTATTAATATTTATAAGCAAGTTTTCAGAATGTAAGGCGTTTTTAATGAGAGCCACAATTGTTATTACTTTGTTGCAATTTAGACTGCAAATATTAGTTATAAATTGCTTAGTTTTAGTGAAAAGTTAATAATTTGTTATAAACTTTATGAGCATTAAAAACATACCAAAACTAAAATTTAAATGCCAATAATTCAATATTTCATAATTTTATACAGTTACAAAAAAAAAATCCATATACTAACGACTATAAGAATATTAATCTTTTAAATATAAGTCATATCTATATTTTATTTAAATATATATTTACCACTTTAATATATTTACTAATATCTGTACAGAAACTATAAGAATATTAATCTTATAAATTAGAAAGTAATTTCTTGAGTTTATTTATATATTTACTTTAATATTTTTACTAATATCTGTACAGAAATCTTTTTTTATAAAATAATTTAAATGCCATTTAGTCTGGTTTGCAAATTTTTGAATAAAATGATTGGTTTTATTAGTAACAATAATAAAGGCATTTGATGGGAATTCTGATTTTGTGATTAACGTGCGACGCTTTTGACCCGCTGCCGCCGCCTCTGCCGACGTCGACGTCAACGCAGCGTCGCGACCTCATGCATCAACGTCACAAACATACAAACAAACAAACATACAAACACACACACACACACACGCATAGAGGCCCGTTTATTAATTCATTAAATATTAAAGACGTTTCAATGCGAGTGCGAAAGAGATGGCCTGCGATTGTCGCGCAATGTTGCCAAACTTCACAGTTGAACCATTCTTTTATTTAGAAAACATTAAAAAAATTCAAGGCTTTTGTCCACAGCTCGCTTTTAAAATGAAACAAGAAAAGCGCAGACACAATGATGTAGCGAAATCATCAATCATGAATGACGACGACCCATGCGAGAAATATCGCTGAAGTTCAAAAAATCATAAAAAACCAAGAATATTTATTTATTTATGTATCTAGTTATATTCCCATACTTCTTTGTGTTTTAGTTTTATACTTAAATTGGTGTTATTATTTTATTTGTTTTATTTCTATTAAATGTGTTATATTATCCATTTTCTCATTGATTTTTATTTTGTATTCATTATATCAATTTTATTTGTTATTTATGGCTGTATAATTTTATTTTATTTAGTTTTAGTTTAATTTGTTTTATTTCTATGAAATGTATCATAATACCCATTTTCTCTTTGATTTGTTATTCTTTATTTCAGTTTTATTTGTTATTTAAAGCTGTATAATTTTTTTAATTGATTTTTTTTATTGATTATGATTATTTTTATTTATTTTATAATTTTTCCTAACAAGATATAATATATTTTTCTTTAATCCTTCTTTTGATCCTTATAATTTGCTTCTCTTTTATTTTTTTGCCTTATTAAAGCTTTATATACATATATGCATATGTACATACGTAAGTACATACGTAATTGGTACATAAACTTTGACCTTTCTGGTTTTCTTCAAGCTTTTCTAGTGCTTCTACTTATTATTCCTTCTAAATTAAGCATTTGCTATTTCCCTTTGACCTTGCCTAATGGTTGATTATCTAAATATTTATGGTGTCTTCTTGCTTTTAACTATTTTAACTGAATGATTATGATGTTACCTAAAAACCTATTTCATATTACTACATTTTTTTTTAGGTATGATAAATCTATAAATTTTGACCGCATATATTTTGACTTTGGACTTTATATTTCCTATATTTTACTGAAATTTTGTTTACTTCATTTTATTTTGCCTGCTATTTGTTCCTTTCTTCCTTATTTTTTAGCTTTTGATTTCACTGGTTTTACATGTTCGTTGAGATGTTTTACCTGGAAAGAAAAGAAGAAAATGAGATATTAGGAATTTTTATTTGGAAGATTTTGTATACAATTTAAAGATGTACAATGTACATTGTGCATACATATGTAGAATAATATCAGTTTATAATTGCATTATTTTTTGCACTTCCAAAGTATTAAGAAAAATAGTGAGTTATACGTTATGTTATGATATTTCAAAGTAATTTCTTAGTATGATGAATTATCAATATTATTTCATATTTTTAATAAGACACATACTTAATACTTTTGTATTTTACAATTTTTCCCCTCGTTGGGCGCCATTTTCACAGCAGGTATTAAACTTTAATGCGAATGAAGAGAGGAAAGGGAGAATAGAAGAAATCTTTATTCATGTCAAAGGAAAAGCTTTGGCTAATAAGCTCTCTTTTGCAGTTTCATCTTCTTATCGCCCATTTGTTTCCATTTTCAGTTTCTTCTCGTTCAGCATTTTCCCCACGCTTTTCGCTTATTCCTTTAACATTTCCCTCCTCGTTTTTCCCCCATCTGCTCTTTTCTGCTTTAAAGTTCGACCAAACAAAAAAGGAAAATGGAAAATAATTAAAACCCGAACCCGCACAGCTTTGTTTTCGTTTGAAAAAGTTTGAAAACAACATGCAGCCAGAAAGAGATGGGGAGCATCAAAGGATAGAGATGGGTATATAT